GGGAAGAGATCTCCAAAATACATGAACATATTTAGCAGAGAATTCTTAAGGCAGGTGTAGCTGGAAAGGAATTGTCTCCCGGAAATCAGTGTTACTTGCAAACAGAAGATGGATTGTAGATTAGCACAATTCAACAAAAACCAAAAGACAGCACTGCACAATGGAAATGCCTTACAAGGGTCTTTACACAGAGTTAAAAAAAAAAAAAAAGAACAAGTCCAATTCAAGAAGTGTAACTGCTTGCTTGCTTATGTTCATCTTACCAAAGGTATGCAAGTTTGCTACCAAATTACCTTGATGGCTCTGTACTGCACTGTCAGTATAACTGCTGCAAGAAAATAAACTGAGGTTCTGAATATCCAGTCACAGCAGATCTCAGTAACGTTTCTGATGAGGGAGACTGACTACCCGCCACAGGAAGCAGCATCTGATGGTCTTCAGTCCCAATGGGAAGAGGAAGTGCTAAAGACATCTCGGAGGGTTTCACATCTATGGACTCCGATAAAGGACTTTTCTGACTCTGAATGGATTCTTGTTCATTGAAAGAATTGTCAAGTGCATTAGAATCAGGGGGAGTTTCAGATCCTGATGGGGGGAAAGAAAAAAAGAAAGAAGAGTTGAAAAGCTCCTGTGCAAATTCCCTTTCAATTGACTGTCAAAACAAACCCTTGGTGTGTCAAAGACTGCCTGGGTGGCTGGCCTATCAGTGGCTTCAATGTGCCGTGAAGCCAGAAGGAGCTGTAAGTACAATGTAAGCACTGAGAATCGCATCCTCTGCTGCTTGTAGCATGACAACTAGACGGATGATGCGTTCCAACTTGATCTCCACTTGGCATGGTACAGAAAAGAACAAATCCTTAACATCGCAGTGAACAAAGGAGCTTTGGAAAAAAATGTAATTATGAAGGTTTCCTTGAAATTTTCCACCGCAGAAAAATCTGAGAACCACAGCCACGTCCAAGCATCCTCTTTTAACTGAGACAGCAATGTACAATACATCATTTATCCATAAACATTTTCGGAAGAAAACATTTGTTAACTCCATTCCAGCCAGACCCATTACAGTTTTTATCCAGTCACTTGAGAAATGATTTTCTATTCTCAACTGAAATTACTGTTAAGATTCCTCACTGCCTTCCTGTCTGAATGCAGTCTGCCACCGCTCGTGGATGGCTTTCTGATTGAGCCACATCGGATATTTGACCCTTCCTCTATCAAAGCGTGTTCCGAAGCCTGTTACTGCGGTGGCGAAGCAGTCCTGTCTGCCTCCTGTCTCTCCACGAGAGCCGACCTGCCCTGGCAGCTCGCCCAGCTCTCTCCCAGCCCGCACCCTCGGGCTCTGCCGAGCCCTCTCCACGCGTGTTGCTGCTCTCACCTCACCCTGGCCTCCCCTGGCTTCCTGCTATACTGGGGCCTTCCTAAATGGGCTCAAGCTGCGCCAGGGGAGGTTTAGATTGGATATTAGGAAAAATTTCTTCACGGAAAGAG